GTATGGGGCTATATTTGGTGCATAAGGTAGAGGAGAATGCTGTCATATTTTTATTTTTATTTTGTCTTTTTGAGACAGGGTCTCGCTATGTGGTTCAGGCTGGCCTTGAGTTCACCTTGTAGCCCAGGCTGGTCTCAAACTCACAATGATCCTCCTGCCTCAGCTTCCCGTGTGCTGGGAATACAGGTATGCGCCACCACGCCTGGCTGCCATATTTTTAATGAGCCTTCTTTTCCACTGGATGGCACTCAGCGGTAGCATTCACTGTATTTTTGAATCCACCTTGTAAAGCCTGTTAAATGCTTTTTTAGGAGGACTTTCAGAACTGTTTCAGAATGTGGCAAGAAGATTGGGGTAAATGGGTTTGAAATAAAGTGGATATTTTGAGATGTGTGAATGGTAATTTGTCCTTTAATAATGTAAAAAATTTAACCATTCACCATATATTTTGATCATGCCTCCTACACAGTTACACACACGCTGGAAGAAATATAAAGGTCGTAAAAATTCATTGGCCCTGGACACCATTTTAATGCAAATTCTCACGATTGTTGGAGTGTTCTGACTATAAGCTTTACTCTCCCATGCGCAACAATCACCCACAAAAGTCTGTTCCTCTTTGCTTTCAGGGTCGCGCCTGCAGTCCTTCGTGTGAAGTGTCAGGCTCGTCATGATGTGATCCTGCCTGCTGTTCTGATCCCATTCTTTTTTTTTTTTTTTCTTTTTTGGTCTTTCTGGGACAGGGTCTCCCCGTGCACTTCAGGCTGGCCTTGAACTCACAACGATCCTGCTGCCTCAGCCTCCCAAGTGCTGGGATTACAGGAGTGTGCCACCACGCCAGGCTCCAACCCCATTCTTGCTCCCTCATGTGGAGTTTAGTGAAATTCACACACACATACACACACACACACACGTCACTGTCTTTGGGTCAGTACATAGTCTCATTATTGACCTACCTATAGGCCTGTCTTCTTTTTATCTCTGTGTCTCTTCATTTACTTTAAATAATATAATAAGCATCTCTGTAGTTGAAATCTGTCTATTAAAGTACTGCTATAATACATTGGACTTTTATACCCTCTTCATTCTGTCTAAAATTATTTCCACCCACTCAGCTCGCCCCAGTGTCTTTAGGACTACACTTAAAAGTTTCCCTGGTCCGTCTCTTCCAGCCCCAATACTAGGTTGAGAATCATTTCCCTGTCACATCTCACAGCCACGTGTGTTGTATTGTTTTTTTAAATCGCTTTTCTACCACTAGGCGGCGCTAGGCTTCAAGATTGTTGTAAACAAGAATGGCTGGTCTAATATGGCGGGCGGAGGGTTTATTTGACACAGTGCCTGGCACATGGGATGAACTCAAAGCACTGACACCCTCCACACGCATTGAGCCTTAAGAGAGTGGTATTAGAAACTAAGATCTGTGTACCATATGTGCGCAATAAGGAAACGTAAAATTATTGCAAATTGTTTATAACTAGAAAAATTTAGTGAATTCCTTTCCTACACTTTACCATCACAATTGAATATCTTTTGTGCATTTTCCTTTTGGTTTTTGTTTCCATATTACTAATAATGGCATACCCTGGTATTATTTTATTGATAATTATCTCACGACCCCCGACTAATTGGGTTTTTAAATATTTGTACAGTGTTCTTTTTACCCATCTTTCTAATGTAATCACATCTCAATTTTATGTTAAACCTGTAGCCAGACTTTACATGATTATGACCATGTAACTATCATCACATTAGTGAATGTACTATAATTACATTTCTTTTCTTACACATTTTATCTTTCCTAATAACTGCCTCATATTTTCCTTTCCTTAATTTCCCAAGTAACCATAAAAATTCACCCCTAAAGTTCCAAAACATCTGTCAAAAACCTATTGATTATCTTTTCAAAATACCCAAATGCAGCTGGGTGTGGTGGTACACATCTATAAACCAAGCAGTCTGGGAGCCAGAGGCAGGAGGCTCACAAGTTTGAACCCAGCCTGGCAAATTAGTAAGATTCTGTCTCAAAATTTAAAAAACTTTCAAAAGGACTGGGGATTTTCCTTAGCCCTGAACAGATCCTAGGTTTGATCCCCAGTACAAACAAAATCATGCATATACATAGTGCCTGAAATAACCAGTTTCAACTCCACTGCCACCCCAAACCTTAAGTCTCTGCCCTACATTCAGCCTTGCTTTATTGTTATAGTATCTGGTCTCCAGACATGCTTCTCTATGGTCTTCAATGAATCTTGCTCCCTGCTACTTATTTTACCATGGTATTCTCACTACACTTGATTCTGAGATGGTGCTAAAACTTTTTGACCAGTAGAATACTATTGAAATAATAGTGAATGACATCAAGTTAGGTAAAAACAATCAGATATTATTCCTGAGCCTGTTGCAATGCTCATTTTGGGGAAAGTCAGATACTATGTAAAAACATCCATCTACTATGAGACTGTTTGTATTAAAGAGCCCATGGTACCATGTGGAGTTGCCAGTCCAGCCCCTAACTCTTGTGGGCGTTCTCTCAATTCATTAGACATCCAAGTTGAGAAGTCGTCATTGATGATCAGTCATGTGGATGAAAAAGTTTTCTTGCACAAACAGTGCAACTGATTTTGAGATGACTCCATCTCCAGCCAGTGCACCTGACTGAGGAAAGACCAGCTGAGATCCGTCAACCAAGGGGACACGGAAAGTAAATTTTCTGGGCACTGTTTTCCAGGGTGGTTTGTGATATAGTGATACAGAATGGAAACAATTTCTCTCCAGCTCTGTTCTGCAGCTGACTTTCTAGAATTTTCCTTTCCTTGATTCAGATAAATTGTCTTCCAGATTCTATCATTTTCTTTCCTGGTAAATTCTCTTGTTTTGCTGTGGAGTTCTCTCCTGTAGCTCCCTGAGACAGGAAGTGTGGAAAGTAAATATTAATTCTATGTTCAGAAAAGTCATGACTACATTCTTATGTGTGAATAGAAAGTTGGCAAGAAGTAAGAGTCTAGGTTGAAAACTATTTTTCCTTTTGAATTGTACAAGCATTTCTGTGTACTTTTCTAGTTTTGTTTAGAACACAAATGGTGTTCTGATTCCAAATGCTTTTAATGCAATATATTACATGTTTGCATACTATTTTGTGGAGGATCTTTCCGTTCATGGAATTTCACTTTTGGCTGTTCTCCTATTCTGAAGTCTTTGAGAAATGTGAATCTCTTTTTTTATTATTGCTTTCATTATACCCTCTTCTGTATTTTTTATTTTCTTTTTTTAAAACACACTGGAACAATCCTTCTTAATATAGCATTTTAGATTATTATATTTTCTAGCAAATTTTCTTTATTTTTAAAACTCATAAAGTTCTGAGGTAAAAGAGATAGTATTTGAATTTTTAAGAACTCTTCTTTAGTCTCTGATTTTTCCTCTTAAAAGCATCTCTGTTCTCTTTCATGGATGTGAGATATTTCCTTCTGAGAAGATATTTTTTGTTTAAAAAAGTTTGAAAAGTTTTTTACTGCTCCCCTTATTACTTTGGACAGGTTGAAAGCTTTCCTCAAGCGCACAGTGAGCCTTAGTTGTCTGTGCATATCTAAAAGTGTTACAAAACAAAAACTAATGACCAGTTCTGTGTCATGGCTGATGTCATGTGTGTTGATTTTATCGAGGAGGACTGCGTGGTTACGTAGCAATAATTCAATACCAATATGGCTTTTGTAGGCTCTTCAGTTTATCCAAACTTCCAAACCCAGGAACTTCCCAGTTTCCTGGATTAGGGTGAGACTAGGATCCAACAGTCTGTGGCAGTGGTGGGAAGATTTTCTCTGCATCTCCTTATTTTTCCTCTCTGCCTCATTTATGGAATTCTTCTGTGTCTAGAACCTCATCTGATAGTTAGATTTTCATAGTGTGAGCTATGTTCAACTCTGTATCTTGTATAGCTGATTATAATCAAATGAGAATTTCTATTAAAAATACAGAACACTTGTGTACCCCCTAATATATTCTATAGTGCTAGGTAGGATAAGGTTGGGACTATGGATGGATTACCCTAAGAATCACAAGTCAAGTAGGATGTAGTGACTAAAAGCACGGGCTTTGGAAACAGAAAGTCCTGTGTTTCAGTCCAATTTCTACAACTTTTTTAGTGGAAGCTACTGAGGAATTTATTTACCTCCCGTAAGCTTGATTTGCCTTGACTGTTAAATGGTATAAGAAATGTGTACTTCTTAGAGTTTTGAAAATTAAATACTGCACTCTATGATTACAGAGTAGCACCTATAATTAAGCAGCCAATAAATATTAGTGATGAAAAAGTCTGGACTTACAAAACACATCTGGTTGGTGAGCACTGGTTGAGCTCCATTCCCTTGCTGTGTGGTGCCGGATATAGCACTGTGTCTGTAGAATCTGAAAGGGTATAAAATCATCTCATTCAGGTCCTGTACTCTGCCTTATCTTCTTTGCCTTTCCCCAGCAAGCGGCTCCACTGTCAGGCGGAGCTGTTGGGCCCAGACCTTGGGTCTGCTGATGCCTGAGTCTGAGTTGTAACCACAGGGTCCATGTGTTGCACTTTCTCTCTCCTTCCCAATAAATGAGATGGTGGTTTTGGGTGATGTGGTGATTGATGGCACCCCTGCCATTTTTTCTCCATTATGAAGGCAAGGCGACCATGAAACAGGGACAGGAAGATTCCAGAGTGAGATCTATCTAGTCTAACTTTTGTTTGTTCACCATTAAGAATCCCCATGAGAACAACTGCCGGTGCAGACTTTATGGCATTTTACTGCCAATTTTCCAGCAGTCAGGATGACCATGGCTTATCCACACATCTGTTCACACACCCGGGGCACCAGGAGAAAAGCACTCAGCATATTTTATCGTGCATCTCTAGTAGAGGGAGGCCATTCAGGATGAGGAAAGGGAAGATATTGAGGAAAAGGAGAAATGAAATTAACATGTCCCACGCTGTCAGCAGGAAGTGCGGTATAAAACATGAATTTTTGACAGACAGACAGACTCCTGTCAAAATGTCCAAAGGGGCTGTCGTTCTCTGGCTGGCAGTGGTGCTCGAGTGGCTTTGTCTAGGTAAGTGTTCAAAAGCCATCCACGTGGGCTCCTTGGGGGGCTGCTTATCCTACAGTGGGTTTTATCACATTCCTCCACTCCTTCAGCCTATTTTTATTTTGAGGGGAGTCTTTCTCCTGCCTCATTACTGAAAGTTTTTACTCAGAGACTGATTTGGAGGTTGTAGGGTGGGAGAATTTGTACTAATATTGGAAATTGCAATTTAAGAAAAAAAAGATATAGAAGTAAGGGTCAGGAGAAGGGGGCCAAGAAATTCCACCTCCGAGTGTTCTACAGCACAGTCAGAGACAGAGCAAGTTGTTCTGCTAAGAGCCCCTTTTGTAATTCTTACCATTCTCTCCATTCAGGAGTGTTTGTCTGCTCTTGTTTTGCTGGGGATGGGCTTCAGTGAGAGATTTCTTTTCTGTACATTGCTTATAGCACTTGGATCATGCAAATGTCCATGCTCCATTTTGGCCGGTGAAGGCCTCTCACCCTGGGGTGTGTGGCTGTCTCTCTGGGCTGAGTGGCCAGTGCTGGGACCTCTGGCGCTGACACCTAGAATATGCATAAATTGCACTGGCTTCTCCATGTGTGAAGTGAGGGGTGTGTGTGAGACCTTTAACTATCGATCCTAGGGTTAGGCAGCGTCCAGTGGGCCTCGCCATTTACAAACTGCAGTTATTCAGCTGTGAATTTACAGCAGTGCTGTGGGAGCAAACACCTGCACTGCAAGCAAAACAAACATGTTCTCTCTGCCTCTCAGGCCTGTGGCATGCTGTTCTTTCTGCCTCTTTCTGTCCTCCTTCACTCATACATCCTCAGCTCTCCACTGAAGCCAAGCTTTTGCTGCCCACCCCTTCGCCTCTAGACTGGTTGAGGACTCCCGGCTGTGAGTTCTCCTCCTCCCTGGAGCTCCTGCATTGCAGACCTTGTCCCCCTCAGCACCTGTTCCCTCCGCTGCCTCCCTCCCTAGGCACCGTGTGGGCTCGGTGAGCCAGGTTTGCTTTCTTTGCTATTGTACTCCAGCACGTAGTTCCATGCTGGGCACATAATAGATAGGAAATAATCTACGGAACGAAAGCAGTCCCTGTAGCTTTCACATCTGTGTTTTGGGTATTGTGCAAGCACCTCCCTACCCCACCCCATTAATGTAAGAAAACTATTGCCTGCTATTTATTCATTCATTTATTTATTTGTTTTTCTGGTATTGGAGATGAAACGCAGGACACTGCACTGAGCTACATCCTCAGTTCTTTCAAGTTTTTTGTCTCTTTTTTGGAAATAGACCCTTGCCAAACTGTCCAGATGGGGCTGATCCTTGTAACATGCACCACCATGCTCAGCAAGTCTGGTTCTTTCTCACTGTGTTTTACGAATCTGCATACTGTCTTGAGGAGTTGAAGCTTGGAGTTTAAGGTGCAGTTTGCTAAGCTCTATGTTCACGTGCCCTGCTTCTTTGAGGACTCTGATAAAATGAGCTTCTCCACCTCGCTTGAATGAGGCAGCCCCTGATGAATTTTCTGTTTGTTTGGTTGGCTGGTTTTGTTTTGTTTTGTTTTGTTTTCCCTAGTGTGCTTTTTGTAAAACTTGAAACTTAAAGGAATGTGGCTCTTTAGGGAATCATAAGGTGGATGTGTTCAGAGACACCTAACAAAACCCTCACTCTATTGACCTGTGATTGCAAGCATTTTAGAGATGGAGTGTCAAAGTACAAACCAAAACCCACTTATTTATTGCAAAGCACCAACACTGCAATTAAACCTAATACTGAGGCTTTAGTTTAGGCAAAACAACTGCACATTAACTAGTGTCTTGATTGGGAAGAGTTTTGCTTAAAGTCACCAGCTTACGGGGTGCCATAGCCTGGGTTGCACCCACTCCCATTCCCAGTGAATCTTTTCCCCCTGATACTTCTGTGGCTGCAAAGAGGTTTCTTGTCCTACTTCTAAGTTCCTGTGTGTTTGGTTACTTGTAGTAAAAGTTTATGAATTTCATGTGGCCCTTGATGCCTTTGGTCCTGTGAACCCTAAGACTCTTTCTGTGGTGAGTGTGATCCTTTTTGTCTTACAGTGGTTGTTATTGTGTATTCCTTCCAAGAACACAAAAGCAGTGACGGGCAGCATGAGGTTTACTATGTAACCATAATGGGTGTTTTTCAGTTACACCCAAACACGCTTCCTTTTTTAAAATATGAAATTTTAATCAAGTGAGTAACATAGAAACTCTTGGTGAGATAATAAAAATGTTACAAAAGCAAGATTAGGGAAATCAATTATCTTTATCGTTACACCCATGTCTGGTCCTTTTCTTCTCATCCTGGAGGTAATGGAGGCCATGGGTGTGGTATCTGTCCCATCAGACACTGTTCTGTGCATTCGTTTTCACACGGTTGAGCCCATGAAAATGCAAACCAGTTTATTCATTTATTTAACAGAG